CTCTGTCACCGGTCGACCGGTTGACACGGGGTTTGACCCTGTTTAGCCTGAAATTGCTGTTTTGATCCCTGTTTTTGGGGAGAACCCAAATTAGCTTCATTTGGGGACTTGAGATAAATGGATTAGCATTATTAATCCTTGATTTGAGATTGAAAACCCTTGGAATGATATTTTGAAACATGAAAATGGATTAGGGCACACTAATACGAAATTTTTGTTGGGAATTGAGATTTGGATTACTTTAGGAATGAGAATTGATCCTAAAGTGTTGTCTTGCATCAGTGATCGCTGAGGATTCAGACTGAAGGAGCTTAAGGAAGTGGAAGCCGGAAAAGGCAACGCTAGTCCCAAGTTTGATAGTGCGAGGTAGGATTTCTATCCCTTTTTTCCTTGTGAGCCTGTTTTCAAAAAGGATTTTAGCCTTGAAAATGTTTTAAAGAAAGGGATTGATTTGTGAAAGAAAACGCTTTGAAAACCATGGCTTGTTTAGTCATGGAACCTCATGGCTTGTCCAGTCATAGGGCCCACGGCTTGAGTTGTTCGTGGGGTCATATTAACGATTTCAAAATGTTAATGAATGATTTCTTAAGCACAGAGATCTTGTGAACTGGTAATAGAGTCTATTGCTGTAAGCCTAGATAGGATGCGGAGAGTGCATCCTCGGGAGCAGAACCCGAAACTCGGTCCGGGTAGGCGAGGCACTTGGTTAGGTAAGTAATTTGTACTAATTACCTGCTGAAGCCTGTAAAACGGTTATTTACAGTTATATTTCCTTTGAGAAAAAGGATGTGAGGTTTCGACTATTCTGTCAGGACTGAATGTCTTATTTTATTTACTTATTCATTTATATATTTCCCTCGCACATTTATTATTCATTTATTTATAACGTTTATTTTAAAATTATATCCTACTGGGTCTTTCGCTCACGTTTTATGTTTTAAATGTATTAAACCCCTCCCAGGAGACTCTAGGAGCGGTGCACAGTAGTTGGATATTGCTACGGAGCAGCTGAGTTGTGCTGCTGTTGGAATCAAGTGAAGATTGTGGTGATCCTCTGATACAAATGTAAGGAATTTGAGAAATTCTGTAAACTTATATAATATTTAGATTTACTATACTGTGGTTGATGTCTGTTGTAATGATTATTTACATGAGCATGTATGTACGATACTGTATGTCCTGTGGGGTGGAGCCCTATGTGTCAGAAGCTTCGGGATTCTGTAGTAATGTAATTATATTTTAATGCAGTTAAGTGTGGGGCCCGGTTAGAAAT